CTCACTGATTAGCCGGTTAACCAGTTTTTTTTTAAATTATGCCCTATAGTATAAATGAACTTTTTTGGTAAGGCACTACACATGACTAGATGACCTAATCCAATCACACTTTTAAAATTACTAACCAGTGCTTGTGTAAAAGAAATTGTCCTGTACATATGATTGCCATTACTACCAATCCCTGTACTTTGTCCTAGAACTAATGGCATCGCTGCATATAAATTTCGTCTCACTTCGTGTCTAGACTGCTTCGTCACGTCTACGTTTTATTCTTTGTCATTTCTCTCTCCCTGTTGATGATATGTCTGCAACGAAGTCCAGAGATTCTCCCTATCAGTCCAGTTCTTCTTGAATACAGTACGCCTCTTCTTTGGCCTAAACGATTTCCAATAAAGTTAGGATACTTGTACGTGTGATAGGGTTAGGATACCTGATTTCCACTAGGATCGCATATGAGCCAATCTGAATCTATAACCTTGATTTTTCACCTTAAATTNAATATGTCTGCAACGAAGTCCAGAGATTCTCCCTATCAGTCCAGTTCTTCTCAAATACAGTACGCCTCTTCCTTGGCCTGAACGATTTCCAATAAAGTTAGGATACTTGTGTAGGGTAAGGATACCTGATTTCCACTAGGATCGCATATGAGCCAATCTGAATCTATAATCTTGATTTCTCACCATAAATTTGGGACTGTGCGAGAGAGTAGTTTATACCACCTGTAAGCCTTCTAGGCTTTCAATTCACATGGCAAGACGACAACGCAACAAAACTTCCAATTTTCACCAATCGTTGAAGTTTTTTAACCTTGTTGGGCGTTTTTGAAGGATGTTCCTAAGCCTATAGGATCATCCATAACTATTTCACCATGAATTATTACTCCTCATGAAAAGTTTCTAGTCGTTGTCAAGTTGGCTGCACACTAGATACCTACTGATTTCTATCCTTCAGTCAGAAATTCTTGATATCATACTCTACAGGATCCAGTCCTTTACTACAGTTTGAAGGTTTTATAGTTCTCTTTCTGTTTCGTTTCGATTCTGAGGCCTGGATTTTTCATACTCGAATACATTCTGTAGCTGATGAGCCATTAGTGATGATCACTAGAACTGGTTCGTACCATGATATGATAGAAGAACCATTGAAATTCTTCTCCAGCAACTACCCTCATCTCAGTTCTCCAGCTCCAGATAGAGAGTATTCAATGTGCTCTGGCTTCTCAGGGATTTCCATGACTTTTCATCGTACATATGTAGAATGCTGGAGATTCCCATGATCTCCTTTGAGAGCTCATCGAAATTTCCACCGATGGTGTTTCATGACTGGTGATTGAGGGCTTAATATGTTCTGCGTGAGAAGTTCTCTTTTCCACGCATGATGACAGATGTATGACTTCAAGATTTTAGATCAGCAAGCTCTTATAGGTACCGGTTCACGCAGGCATGTCACATCATTCACTTTAGTTCTGTAGACCTCACTATGAACCCACCCCTTCGTTCCCTCTACTCTGCACCGTCACTGTTCTGCCCTTGATTCAAAGTACCACGTGGTCAAAGTCTATAGCTACGTGTTGTCTTAAGTGACTCTTTAGAAATGCCAGAGCGACTGTGAATTGTGATCTTGTATTTCTGGAATGAACGCTTCAGCGAACGGGAAATTGATGAGCTATTTGTGGAACAGCCATATGTTTCTTTTGTGGTTTGTCTTGGAAAATTTTCAGGTGTGACCCTATGTAGTTCCGCGAAATCCCTTAAAAAGTAAACAAAATGAAGGGTGAAATCTCCAGTGTTGATCAATCCCGGTAGAGGGATGGTGGGGGCCATGACATTCGAATTCGATCAGGATTGCAGTGGAGGTTTGAATAGTATGTAGCCTATACAGTGACTTGCGGCGGCCGATCTAACAATAAGTCTAGTACCAATTAACCGATCCCAGACGGATGAAATGTTTGGAGGGCTGGGAGAGAACGAACTGGGAGCAGGTACCACTTCGAAAGTCCTGCCACTGAAATAGAGTTAAATTCCAAGAAAATTGAGCAAAAAAACAAAAATCTTCGTCTTTGCCGTTTTCAGTAGCTAAATTACTTATTAGTCGTACTGCTTTTGCCCGGCCCAGAAGACAATTTTAACTTTGTTCGATGAATGCATCCTTGCAATATATCAATTCAGCCTACGAAGGTAAGGTCTCATGTCTGTGGAATAATTTATCAACTACAATGAACCTAGGTTTCGATGAAATAGTTTTTTAGAAGGTCTGGAAATTTATCAGTTTCAATGACCACACAGGTTCCGATGGAATCCTTTCCTTCCGGGGCTGAATGTGTTTGGTGTTCGGAACGTGATTTCTACACAAACGAGTGCCCAGTTAATCCTAGCCGTTATGGCAATACAATGGCAAAAACCTTAATGTAAAAAGGCCCAAACTCGCGAAAGGGACGGGGCTTCATGAAAAACACCCAGTCGACTCTCTATGAATACTAGCATGGTAGTTTCTCGACGTATGGGTGCCCTTATAGAGCCTCAGCCAAGATGAAGTGAAAGGAAATTGGCTCCCAGGCTCCAACGAGGGTGACAATGCCGAAATNGCCGAAACCCTTGAGGCACTCTGTATTTCTAAAACAAGGTCGTCTACGGCTGCAACCTTTTGCCGTTCATACCGCTAAATGAGCTTGGAATTAAAAGCTTTTTACAAGTAATCCTTTTTTTAATCATGAGCTCCTTTTTACTTTTTAGTTGTAGGGGTAGAAGTTTCTCGAAGTTCTAGATATCTCTGAAAACCACCCGAACTGGTAAGGTAAAGCAGAGATCAGGTCTTGAACTGGGAACTCGTCCAGGTTTTTGAAAAAGGTGAACACGTCGAATCGTTAGGCTGTCGTAATTAATATTATTAATGAATGAATGAACCAACTAAAAACTTTGTAAGACACAGGACTATAAATGTCGTGTCGCGGTCACAGTGAGAAAAAAGCTGGAGACTGCTTCGATCCTTTTTTCTACTTTTTTGGCATAGAACCTATGGGATTTCAAGATCGGTAGAACCTTTTCTTCTGGCACTCCAGCGAAGGGCTGTTTTTTGAGGATGTTTACAGCAACACGCAAAACATTCATTGAGCTAAAGCAACTTTTTGATTTATATAAAAAAAATAGAAAGGCTCAAACGAAGTACAGTAATCAGTGAAAAAGTTCAGGACAAAAAATCAACTCCTAGAGTAAAGTCTTCAAAAACTCCTACACATCGCATCAGAACAAAATTTTTTCGTGGGCTAAGGTCGCCAGGGATAAATATAGCAATCGTTCCGCATGCTTCAGAGGACTTCTTATTTGGACAGAAATCAGTTGGTGAAACGAGCTCTTTCCTCGCTCCCATTCCTCACCCTTTGCCCGTTTTCTTCGATTTCCAGATCCTTTTTTGTTTGATATTCACTAAGAGCATAGAAGACCCCATATGGAACTTCATATTGAGAACGTTTTGGCAGAAATTCTCCGACTTTACAAAGTTGCGAAGCTTTTTCACATTGACATGAATCCCGTTCAATATTGCGGAAGATGACTTAAACGGCTGTCTTCGCTATATGTCATTTTTTGTCATTTCGATTCATAGGCGATCCTTTGTTGAAGATCAATCATTTCCATTTCCTCTACTGGGGAAGTAGACGAGTTCACAGTAGTCAAACAGGTTGGCTTCTGCACTGGGTAATTGGTTACCGTAGTCGCTTTGCAGAAGTTTTCGTGGAATTCCGCAGACTTCAAAATGTACTATGGTTATTGAAAAAGCATAAGTTGCACCTAAACGTAAAACCTCTTAAAAGGCAAGTCTGCCGCCGAATCTTCAATCTTCCTAGAAATCACCTCTATTTCCATCACACCGCCTACATTCGATGCTCAAATGCTAGGTTACCTCATCATAATTCTGTAAATTCGATCTCCGGTTCCGGTTCATACGCTGAAGAGCAGAAACCACAAATCTTTGACGAAGATGAATATTTCGTGGTGAACGAGCTGCAAAATGGTCATTGGGGAAAGGATTACCTGCTTCCCTGTCACGAGCCAGAGTGATCCAGCGAATCGTTCTCGCTTCAGGGACACAAGGTCCAACATTCCTTTCATTCAGAGCTCCGTGAACTGTGTGAAGATGTTCTTCGATGCATTGGTAATGACGTGTCCTCGAACACTTCTTATTAGGAGTGCACCCTAACAAACTAGTAAGATTCGAAAATGTCTTACGAAGGCTGTAGAGCTAAAAATCATCTGCCAGGCAGGACAACTGCGTAAAGGATTCACGGCAATACTGGAAATTCTTTATTAGACAGACGTCTAGAAGCCTATGACTTTCTCAAATTCTATTGAAAAGGATCCAGCTGCGTAGTAAAAAGGGACGCAATAGAAACAAACGATAAATAATCGTCAAAGTTAAGGTCTTCAGGTTTCATGCAATGTAGAGCTACTCACGTCCTTCTATAAAAAAAACTGTCAAGTCTCATAAAAAGTCGACAAGTTCTGCAAAAAAAAANGCTGTCGTAATTAATATTATTAATGAATGAATGAACCAACTAAAAACTTTGTAAGACACAGGACTATAAATGTCGTGTCGCGNAAAAAAAACTGTCAAGTCTCATAAAAAGTCGACAAGTTCTGCAAAAAAAAAATGGTGGAAATCCAAAGTCAATTGGGAGAGCAAAGTCCATTAATGTAAAAGAGAAGTGACAGGGTTACTTCTATATAAACAGCTCAAATCTCTGAACAACCTAACAAACAAGTGCTCCATCGACTCGAACATCTTCATTTTCCTGTCGCTCCTATTTGGATTTCTACTTCCTTTGCTCTTCTGTTTACCTGACGTATATTATCCCAAACGACGCCATGCATTCTCCAATCTCTGCAGCTTTCATGAACTGATTCTACCCGACCACTATTGCAGCAGCAGTTGATATGAAAGTTTTCGTCCGTTGTATTTTTTTTTGGAAACCATCACTGGATACTATTTCTTCTCAATTTCCAGAAATGTCAAAAAGTGCCTTTGTGATAGGGGCCACTGGTGCTGTTGGTCGGCAACTTGTCGAAGCACTCATTGCATGCAATCAGTTCAAAAGGATCGTACTCATCGGTAGAAGGCGGATCCCACTGAACTGTGACATTATAGTAAGTTTGCTTCAATAATTCTTTGAAATCTGTCACAGACAATAAACAATCAAACCTCGTTCTGGCTAACTTGGAGTGACTCTCATCCGTGCCTAGCAACTTGCTATTAATTTTCATGAGATTATTCCATGTATTTGGGATGGCTGGAATACTCAAGATGTCTCAAGACTACAAAGGATTACGGTCATTACAGGAACAAGCAGTTGTCGATTTCGATGCCATTGAAAGTCATCCTGATCTCTTCAAAGATATTGACGTTGGATTTTGTGCTTTCGGTACGACATATGCAAAATCAGCCATGGGTCTTTCACCAATAATTTCCGATGTTCAGGTAATAATAATTATTATAGTAGCAGTAGTAAGAATAATAATATCACCATTATCGATATAATAGGATAAAGGGGTATCGGTAGCGATAAAGGGCTTAACTTAACCCCGTCATATACGGTTCAGGATGTTTTGCGAATTCGTTTCGGTCAACCTGTCGGGGACTTTCTTTAAATATTCAACCACAATGTAGATTCCTTTTCGAAAAACTGCAACAAGTGACGATTCAGACTTACCTTACTTACTGATTTTCCCTTTTCAGACAGAATTGTACAAAGTAGATCACGACTATGTTGTAAACACTGCAAAAGTCGCTAGAGCTCAAGGTATGTCGGAGTTATCGGATTGGTTGAGCATTTCGTCTTCCTAAAGTATCAAACAGTTAATGATAGTCCTTTGCCAGGTGTCAAGGAATTCATTTTGGTCTCAGCCTTGGGAGCAAGCGAACACTCATGGCTACTGTATTTCAGAACAAAAGTAAGCTGAAATTCGTAGTGCATTCCTAGACAAAATACTGTTTTGCAGTTTTAGTAAATTTTGTCACAATTTTAGGGTGCCATTGAACGAGACATAGCTAAATTGAATTTTGATAAATTTGTTATTGCGCGACCTGGAATGTTCGAAACGGTTAGAGAAGGTTAGTCTGCTCGTTATCCGCCTTTCAACTGGTTGTTTTTTATTAGTGTATTGTTTGTTTTTCGGGCTTTTACTCCTGAATATATATTATATTTACTTATGAACCATGTGCTCAATGGTGGGCAAAACACCTGTGGGAGACTGAAGAGGGATCACACGGCTACGGTAAAAGAATCAGCTCCACCAATTCTTTCTGTTTACTTGACCCCTCCCCCTTCTACCCTTACCATCCCTTTCGGAAAATTTACAGAAAAAAAAGCCCCTGACACTCCTAGAAAGTCTCAGTTGGTGGACAAAAAACAACAAGTCTTTCTTTTCAAGGTTCTTTCCTTCACGTACCCTCGAGTAGATGGAACTGGGTTACTAGTTTAGTTACTCATCGTGATCCCAGCTAGTTCCTAGATTAAGCAATTAATGTACTGTTCAGATTATTGAACGTTCATTTTTGCAAAGAAATTCTTATGAAAACCTGTTTCAGAAAGTCGCCCTATGGAGTCATTTGTAAGATTACTTGTCCAACCATTGAAACTATTCACTAATTCGCTCTCGATTCCTGCCACCGACGTTGCAAAGGTAATTATCAAAATACAGTACTGTATGCTTATTTGGATAGATAGGAAATATGAAATTCACCTCCACTTGATAGAAAACTCCATTACGTTACTCTTTCGCAATGGTCCAAAATCCGTCTGTTCAAAAGTTGATGTTTTTTTCTGAAACGATTCGTTAAACACTGTGACGTTGAATCGTTGAACACTGGTCACCACAACACAAAGGCCCAAAGTCACCAGCTTTCTATTTAATCAAGGGAATTGAAGATACCCAAGACAAAGTGGATTTTCCAGGCTATGGTTGTCGCAGCTTGCTCTACTGATCTGGAAGGTGTCGTAATTTGGGAGAATGCGACGTTATTTGAGAAGAAAGAATTATTCGATGACTTCTGTAAGAAAGACGACATAGTTCAACAAACAAAGGAGGGCGACATGATCGGTAATGGGTGCACGTATAAAGGACATCTGCAAAATGGCACGGTTGGATATTTTGCAAAGGAGACAGCTAACGGCGTTGTCCGAGGGAGGAGGTAGTAAAGGAACGAAATATGTACCTAACTTCTCACATAAATTATTCCTCAAATCCTCAACGAATACTCACGTGTTTGTAAGAGAGCCCAGACAACGCGACAAATATCATGTCATTTATCACCACTTAGTGTGCCCACTGCCTTTGCCCTTTTGATTTAATTTCATTGATTTGTTGATTGTTAATCAGATTTCCTTTTGTGGTCTCCGTAACTTCAGATAGTTAGTCCGTTCAACGGTGTGAACAAATAATTCTTTTCTCAAGTTGTACTCGAGTATATGCTACTTCTGTTTACTGTTACATGATACTGTATTTTACATAATAAATCGCAGATGATAGCCATGAATGTTCAGTACTGTTCAATGATTCACGAATGCTACAGTTTTCTGGATGGCAGTACTTCACCCTGAATCCCCATGGCAAGCGGCAGTGGTTCCGCGCGGCTACCATGGGCGTAAGGCATGCTTCCCCGAACAGGGGAGGGTCCCCTTACCGGTACGGTATGCTCTCGGGGAGAGCAGAGGGAGAGAGAGAGATCCGAATCCCAGACCCGAACAGCCCTATATTCCTCCTATCTCGTCATAGCACGCGACTGCGCGCGATCGGGTGCGGCCAGCGCGACGCGATTTTCGGGCAAAAAATTCCACACCCTAATTTTCTTTACCGTCAGTGCTCTCAAGAGGAAATGCCCAATATGGTCATTCGTAACTCATAGCCAAGGTAGATAAATTTAGGACTGACTACTAGTCTCTAATCCTTCTGGGACCAGTTACTTGATAACACTCCAAGTCCAACCACAAGGCCAGCTAGCCCAGTAAGTTACATAGGCCAGATGTAAAACCCACTTTATGCAAACTTCTGACTGAAAACCGAATTCATTGCGCAATTCAGGGAAGAGATTCGTTCTGAAAAGGTTTCGTTTCACGAGGAAATAAAGGATTGATGGGTAGGAGCAGAAGTCACTGTTGCACTCACGAGTAAATCTATCCAGCCAGAGCTGGGTAGCAGAGCAGCACAAACGACTGGTATTATGGCCGTACTGGTATCCCATCATTGGATTCAGTGGGCACGTTGAGCGTGTGATGGGCTTGTTTAGATGCCTTTCGAATAGTATATTTAAAGGTATAAGGGATGAACGTGAGGGCAGCATGAACCTTTCAAGCTTTCCTGAACGGAAAAGTTCTTGAGCGACAGGAAAGCATACTATTCCTTCTCCTCGTATCAGCTGGAGCAGATGACAAGCGCTATCTGAAGCTTGTCGCGATGGCTATTGCCGTTCCCCCTCTGGTGCAGGGTATCGGTAGCCAGCTTGAAGGTGCCATGATCGGATTCACTCGTCCGCTATGGATCTCATTGTTGAATTCTCAGCTTTATACGTGAATAGGTGCCACTGACATAGCTAGGAGCAGGGTAGGACTGGCAATGAGCTGGAGAAGAACAGGAAGATGGACTACGAGAGGTGGAAGTATCTCGACGGCATCACGTCGTTACGTGACGACTGCTTGGAATATCAGATTAGACGTATTCCCTCGACCTCTATCCAGCCTCCTTCCCACCACGACCCACCCAGTGCCCTATAAATTTGAATGGAGACACGAGGGGGTGAGGGGGGGTAGAGGTAAGGGGAGATGTCGCGCTCCAAACCAACT